TGATTTGTACTTTTGATATGAATGAGGGCTTGTAATATTGCATATAATTCTGCTGTGTATATAGAAGTGGCTGGCATTAATTTAAATTGGGAAGAAGAATATGGAGTGACAAATGCTGCTCCTACGTCATTACCAGATCTGCAGGCATCTGTATAAATGCAAAAGCTTTTCCCGTAAGTCTCGAGTTCCTTTAAACATGACTGTCGCATTACAGTGGGTGATGTATCTGATTTGTTATATTGGAGTAGCGTCGTATTGATTTCGGGAATCATGATTAACCAGGGAGGTGGAGTTTTTACATTTGAAGGAAAGAGGTCAGAAAATTGGAGTTGTAGATCTTTTAAATTTCTTCGAACTCTTTCGTGGAATGGTGGATCGAATCTACTTTTGTTATAAGCTTCTAGGTAACGGTCCGTAAATGCATTTTGAAATACTGGGTGAAATTTGTGGAAAACATCATTGCAGTATTAAAATTTTTCGTGAATAATATTTTATTAAAACTTACGTAGAAGTAAGAATTTTTTGTGTATAGTGGTATATTATTTATTAAAATATTCCAATAATTTTATCTAAAAGAATTTTAAATCTTCAAAACGTTTTTGGTCCAGTCGGATCATCATCAGTAAAAAAACATTAAAAGTAGTTCAAACTAGCTATGTAAACAGGTACAGAATTCTAGTACGTTTTCTGCATATCTCAGTTAAAACTTGAAATATAAACAAAGTAGGTAGCGGCATAATTTTGAATTTGATAAAGAAAGGTGTTCTAGTTAACTAACCCCTGCTAACATCCTGACAGCTTTCTTTCGCATTCTAAAAATTTGAAGTACATTTGTTGAATTGCCCTATATAATTACCTTATATAATTACTCTCACCTAAACTATAGTTTAGGTGAGAGTGAAATAGAGTAAAATATGTAATATTCAATGGTTAAAAGTTGACAACCCTTGCTAGTTGGCAAATATCAAATAATGAATTTAATAGCTCTTTCTTAAGCTGTGTGATATGAGCCGACCACTTGAGTCGATAATCTATGGTTATTCCCAAAAGCTTACCAGTATCTTTGTTATCTATACCATTGTGTAAATTACTTGCAGATATTACCAAGTTTTGCGTTTTATCAAAGCTAAATTTGAGTTTTTTTGCAGCAAACGTTTTTTTTTTAAATCAAGACATATCTGCGAATTGTATGGTTTTGTACGGATATATGAATTTGGACAAATCGTTGACATAAATAATAAACCAAACAGGTTCTAAGACCGAACCTTGTGGGACTCTATGTTTCACGGATAGAAAATCGAAGAGATGACCTTTAGACACTAGCGCCTGGTGTCTGCCACATAGATGTCGTGGGAATCGCAATAAAAACCTTTGATAAGTCGCAAAGATCAATTGCTATGTGATTACTGCGTTCAAGGCCCTCAATCATCTCGCTCACAACATTAAATACCGCGTTCGTAGTAGAACGAGCACTTCTGAATCCATATTGTGAATTGCTTAAGTATTTATTTGACTCAAAATAGGAATAAAATTGTTGTTTGATAATCTTTTCTTCAATCGCTTTTCCAAAAGTAGAAACAATGTTATCGGACTGTAATTGTCAGTTTTTGACGAATTACCTTTTTTGTAGATTGGTAGTCCTGTAGTACTTCTGGAAATACTCCAGTTGATAGAATTAAATTCATAAGATGAGTGAAAGGTGTTAAAACTGTTTGGTAAGTTTATTTTAAAATTTTTCTATTAATTTCGTGAACGTCCTTACAATTAGATTTACTAAGAGACTTTATTATTTGAGGGACCTCTTCTTCCACAACGGGACGAAAAACATGGGACTTGCTCGAAAAGGATAATTTCAATAATTGAAGAAGACATCTACATTAATAATGGGAAGAGATATAATTATAATCTCCGCACATATATATATATATAATATATATATATATATATATATATATATATATATATATTATATATATATATATATGTATATATATATATATATATGTATATATATATATATGTATATATATATATATATATAATATATTATATATATATATATATATATATATATAACAAGCGAGTCTTCTACAGCTGGCGCCGCTTCTCTCATCTTAATTCCAGCGTTTTCTGTCGAAGCAATCTTCAGTTGTTAGATCTCTGGCGGTCATTGCATCGTCGACATCGTCTCTCCAGGATCGTCTTGGTTTAACTCGTTTTCTTTTAGTTGGCGGAGTCCATTCTTCTATTTTTTTGGCCATCTATTTTCTGGCATTCTCTGAAGGTGTCCATACCAGTTAAGTCTGTTGGCTTCGATTGTGTCTATTATGTCAAGATCGATTTCCATTTCTCTCCGAATATCTTCGTTTCTCACCCTATCGAGTCTAGTGAGCTGGCAACATCGTCTCCAGTAGTATCTCTAGTAGCCATTTCCATGGCCTTAATTTTTGATTGATTTTTCTATTCTCTGCAATTGTAGTAAAAAATTGATCTATTTCGCCTGGAGGTAGATCAGGTTGTACCGAACTGGATCTTGTATTGTTTCTTTCGAAATTTACTATTTTCTAACAGTCTCTAGGTTTATTATTAAAATTAGTTATAAAATTACAGTAAGCTGACTTTTTAGCAATTTGTAATTGTCGATTATATTCAAATTTTTGTTTTTATATACTTTGAAGAAATCACGATCCTCAGTGCCATCGGCAATGTGTATGTAATAGGCAAAGAAAGATTAGACCTGTAAGACCTTAATTCATTATCAAACCCTTGCACAGGTGTTTTTGAGTTGTTTTAATTTTTGATCCGCATAAAAAGCATTGATCATAACGACTTTATTTGAAATACACTGCAAATTAACATGAACAGGTACATTATAGCGATTTTAAAAGTTACGTATAGCCATTTGCTCCATTTATTGGGGATAATTGTATGCTTATGAAAAATAAATCCAGGCCACACATTGCCAGAATTATGCAGCAATATCATTAGGAGTTTAGAATTTCTTCCATGATCTGGCCTGCGAGAAGTCTTCAACCCAGTTCAGTAAAACATATTTGTTACATCGTAGGAGATGACTACGATGAGGAACTACACAAAAGATCAACTCTTTTTGGGATTAGTTTAAATTTAGGATCAAATTGATCAAGATGAAATAAGAACGGTGATTTTTAGTATGAAAAATCATTGTCAATCAGTAATAACTGCCAGGGGAAGCAATACTCGCTACTATAGTCCGTTCGCTATATTTACGCGGGTTTCGGATTAACAAAATTATGCTAGTGACTCATTGATAACCAGTTGCAGTAAACAACTTCCCAGAAAATTAGGTAAAAACTGTATTAATGGTCATATTTTAAAATACATTAAAATAACATTAGGGTAGGTATAAATTTGTTACAATATTGCAGTTGAATTATTTCCTTGCCAGTGTTGACATTGTATGTTTGGTGGAAATATTTAAAAATGTTTATCGCAAGAGATACATAATTTGGGTTTTAAATTTCAAAAGGAGGATAACAGGAAAGCCCTTTGTGAAAGAAGTTCTGTTGTGCATAAAAAAATTAACTCTCTAAGAAAATATTTTAAATTAAAAGAAGAAAGGGCAAATTTTACATATTTAGACGAAACATGGATATTTTATAGGGGTGCAACCAAGAGAATATGGCAAGATGATAACGTAAAGTCTATCAAACATACTGATGGAGAAGGAAAGCGACACATAATTTTACATGCAGGAGAGAAATCGGGTTTTGTAGAAGGTGCTGATTTAATATTTTCATCTAAATCAATGATCTAAATCAGAAATGTTTGTAAAATGGTTACATGAAAAACTTCTCCCAGGTTTAAGTGAGCCCAGCGTAATTATTTTAGACAATGCACCTTACCATTCTGAAGTATTAAACAAAAGTCCAACGAATTCTTGGACTGTTAATAAAATTAAAGAATGGTTGACAAAGAAACATATACCATTTACACAACATATTATAAAATCAGAATTATTACGCTTGGTAAATATCCACGCAAAACCAAAAACCTTTGTTGTGGATCAGATTATTGAAAGTTACAGTCATCAAGTTTTACGTCTGCCACCGTATCATTGCCAGTTTAATCCATTCGAATATATATGGGGAATAGTATAACCATGGACGTATAAGTATAACAATATTATGACAACCATATTGTGCCTAACGGTTATAGCGACGACGCAGTTCGGGAAACTTGGCGAAAGCACTTTCAATTGTAACTCCAGAAGTGTGGTGCAACTGTATATTCAAGTGCGGTAAACTAATAGAAGATTGGTGGACTCGTGAAAATAAAATAAACGAAATAAATCCAATCATAATAACAATTAATGGTGATGACAGTGATGATGATGTCGATTATGATATTTTTGATGATAATGACTGATTTTTATTTTTGTTGGCAAGTTAAATTTTTTTATTTTTTATTAGAAATTCTCCCCATGGAACAAATATACATAGACCATATTTTCTGTGTGAAGTGTAATATAAAATTATTATTAGGTTTATATTAGCCACACTAGACTCCATTAATGAAGTAATTCTCCTTATTATACTGTCAATTATATAAAAGATTGTTCATTATTATTTAATTAACAAAAGTTATGGATTATTTTTCATTTCATTTGACCAGTTGATATTTCCCCAAAGAACAGGTAATTAAAAAATAAAATTTTTAATCCGAAATCCGCGTAAATATAGCAAACCGACTTTAGTTTAATTTTCATAAATTTTTCAATTTTTTGAAAAATTTTCAATTTCGTCTTTTATTTATAATTTTTCGTAAAAACGAAATGTTTTTTATCTTAAATGTTCTAAAAGCAACCTTCAAGAACCAAGATTTTTTTCATTATGACCGAAATTATAATTTTAAAAGTATGCCTTAATTTTGGCGTGCAGTGTAATTTTGGGTAGTTTTAATACTTATAAACCGTCAGAAATTACAGGAATAAAGTATTAATATAACAGTTTTGACCTTACCTGCAGTAAAGACGGCAAAGTACTCTTTCCAAATTCGTCCATCATTCCATTCGTCGCATGCAGCTGCTGGATATAAGCGTTGTGGGTGTTGAAGTAAGCGCTCAGGGATTCGGTTGAAGGTGCAGCCAAGTACGCCAGGTAAGCACTTTTATATTCCTGCCGACACTAAATAAAAATAATTAAATTAATATCTACTTAAAAATTAAGCAAAGGTATATGATAAAAATGACCACTTTTTTCCAATTTCATGCAATGATCGTAATCAAACAAGTTTCTTTAAGTACTCAAATATCTTAAAGGTAAGTACTGCTCATTCTTCTTCTTCATGTACCATGTCCTTTCAGAACGTTGGTTACCATCATAGCTATTTTAATTTTATTCACTGCTACCCTAAATAGCATGCTTGTATCTACACCATACCAATCTCGCAAGTTCTTCAACCATGAGGTTCTTCTTCGTCCTGGACTGCGTTTGACTGCTATTTTTCCTTGCATGATATTTTGTAGCAATCTATATTTGGGACCTCTCATTACATGTCCGAAATATTCCAGCTTTCTCTGCTTGATGCTTTTAATGATCTCAGTAGTCTTGCTGAGACGTTCAAGTATTATGGAGTTACGAATCTTCTCCACCCAGGAAACTTTTAAAATTCTTCTATAGCACCACATTTCGAAAGCCTCAAGGCGATTTAGATCGATTTTATTCACAGTCCAGGACTCGACAGCATAAAGTAAGACCGAGAACACCTACCAGCGAAGTGGGCGGATCCTTAATGCCAGTTTTAGGTCTCTGTTACATAACACCTTGGACATCCTTCTAAAAACAGCTCTAGCCTGCTCTATTCTGGATCTAATTTCGCCGTGATTTTCTGCATTACAATTTAATTGCTGTCCAAGGTAGACGATTTTATCAACTTGCTCAAGTTTGGTATTATTTACATATATAGACGGTTTTATATTCTGTTGTTTACTTATTACAAGTATTTTGGTTTTCCTTATGTTCAGATCAAGAGCTGCCTCCCTACAACTCTCAACGACACTATCAAGTAGTGTTTGCAGATCTTCTTGACTAGAAGCTAGGAGTACTGTATCGTCCGCATATCGCAAATTATTGATGACTTCGCCGTTCACAAGTATTCCTTCTTGTTTTTCAGAAAGCGCTTTTCTGAAAATTCTTTCGGAGTAAACGTTAAAAAGCAGGGGTAACAAGAGGCATCCCTGCCGTACTCCTCTTTTAATATTGAGAGCTTGTGATTCCCCACCATCTACTAAAACTGATGTTGTTTGATTCCAATATAAATTTGCAATTATTCGAACATCTCTGCCGTCCAAGTCTATGTCTTTTAGAGCTTCGATCAGTATAGAGTGCTTAACACGATCAAATGCTTTTTGAAAGTCAATAAAACAACAGTATATGTCTACAGATATATCACGACATATTTGAGCAAGTACGTTCATTCCAAACAGTGCCTCTCTCGTTCCAAATCTGTTACGGAAACCAAACGGAGTGTCATCCAGGTATTCCTCACATTTATTGTAGATACGACCATGTATTACCTTCAGAAAAATTTTCAATAAGTGGTTTAACAAACTGATGGTTCTATAATCAGCACAGGTTTTTGCTGTTGTCTTCTTAGGTAGAGCTATAAACAGTGCGTTACACCAACCATTAGGTAGTTGTCCGCTGGTATAAATGGTATTGAAAAACGGAGTTATAGCCTCTAAAACATTGCTATCCTTTATAAGCTTATATATTTCAGTTGGAATTTCATCAGGACAGTCGCTCTGCCATCTTTTGATGATTGTATGGCCTTTATAACCTCACAGCGTGTTATTAGGGGTTCGTCGCAGTTAGTAATATCGGGAGGTGAACTACTCCTATCGTCTTCGAATAGGTTCGTGACGTAATTTTCCCATTCTTTGAGTTTGTCCTCTACTTCGAATATTACTTTACCATTTTCATCCTGTAGCAATGCATTTTGTTTCTTATTGAAGATACCAGCCGCTTCTTTTACTTTTTTATACATGTTAAACGTGTCGTATCTTTTTTCGAGTTCTTCAATGTCATGACACTGTTTGGCTAGATGTTGACTCTTTGCTTCTCGTATTTTATGTCGAATTTCTTTTTGTATGCTATTGTAAAGTGTTTCGTTGGTTTTTGCTAGTCGCCGTTGTTCCATCAAATCCAGTATATCATCTGTCATCCAAGCCTGCTTTTTTGGCTTTGACCTGCCTTGTAAATTTCTCACACAGATTTCTTTTACTTTCGTTACGATTTTATTTAAGCCCTCATCGACGTTTTCACCAATATTTTCCCAAATTAAATTTTCGTTCAGTTGTCTTTGAACTGATTCCTTAACTTTCTCGTCTTGTAGTTGGGCTGTTTCAATCTTTTTGCGAGACTTCTTTTTGATCACCTTTTTTAATTTTAATTGGGTTACAGCTACTATGGGATTGTGATCGGACCCAATGTCAGCACCTGGATAAGTTTTAACTGATTTGATGCAGTTTCTAAATCGATTTTTTATTAGAATGAAGTCGATTTGATTCCTAATAATTTTGCCCTCTGATTCTGCATTTGACTTCCAGGTGTAGAGTCTTCTCGGTGGTATATTAATTACTATTTATAACTGGGAATAAGCCACAATTAAAGATAAAAATACGTTTATTGACGTTTCAATTTCCAATTCGGAAATTGGAAATTGAAACGTCAATAAACGTATTTTTATCTTTAATTGTGGCTTATTCCCAGTTATAAATAGTAATTAATTTACAATGCCACAAGAAAATAGCTTCAGAACAATATTTTCGGTGGTAGTTTAAAATGGGTATTCGATATAATGAAATCGTGTTCTTGACAGAACTGGACAAGTCGTTGGGAAACGAAACGATGTTCGTTTCTGTTTCCCAAGCCATATTCCCCCACAATGTTCAAACGGCGTCCTTTAGTCGGGCTCATTCAAACTGCTCATTAGTCGGGCTAAACAGGCCCCTCATGTAGACAATGTTGAATGCAGAATATAAAAATAAACTAAATGAATAATCTCTGGGACTATGATAACGATCGTACTATTGTGGCTGATGCAAAATCAACCGACCTAAATTATGTAAATGGAGTATAATTACATCAATACACTAAACAAATATAGCCAATTCCAGATAGCATATCCTATTTAATCCCTCCAACCACCCAGTGGGCTTCCACCTCTTAAAGAAAATATGGACAGCAATAAACATAATACGTACAGGTCATAATCGTTGAGGATCCTTCTTATTTAGATGGAACATGAGGTCTATAAATTCAGACCACAATCCTGTAGTTGCAACTGTCAGAATAAAACTTAAAATAGTAGGCAAGGCTAAACCCAGTCAGAGAGTAGCATGGAGTAGTGCTGACCAGGGACAAAAACATAATTATGTATAAAGACATGGTAGACACGCAGTTAGAGTCTAAGATATTAGCTCATACTAAAGAGAAGACAATAAAAGAAAACATTGAGGACATATGGGGAAAAATTTAAAATACTGTCCTGGGGGCAGCAAACCAAAATATACAGAAAGAAAATCGTAAACAAAGAAAACCATGGATGACAAACGAAATATTACAAATTATGGAAAGGAGACGGATGGTAAAAAACAAAAACCTAACAAGATACAAAGAGCTTAGCAGGGAAATTGAGAGAAAGATAAATGTAGCTAAGGTAGAGTGGATGAAAGAAAAATGTAAAGAGGTAGAAGATCTGCAATCTGCAAAGGAAGCATAAATATAGAGAATTACACAGAAAGGTGAAAGAAGTCGCTGGGATATGGAAACCCAAACATTTATCTATTGTAACAAATACGAAAAACCAAATGGAATTAGACCCTGAAAAACAAAAGGAAATATGGGAACAATATCTTAAAGATTTGTTTGGTGATCGGAGAGCAGGAGGGCCCCCACAAATAGATACCGATGGAAAACTAAGTATTCTAACCGAAGAAGTTATGCAGTCAATAAAATATGCAAAGAAGAACAAGGCACCCGGCGAAGATCTAACAACAGCCGAACATTTTAACTGGCTGGCTAACATGACTGGCTAACATCCACATATGTAGCTCTTCCTAAAAAACAAAAAGCAAGGAAATGTGAAGACCATCGAACTGTATCCCTCATGAGTCATGCTGGTAAGATTTTTATGCGAGTAATTTATAACCGCATTCACAATAAGTGTAAAGAATACCTGAGTCGTTCTCAATATCCTAGTCACAGACTAGGTTTGGATATTAATCTTTTCAAAACCAAAATCATGGTATTTCACAAGAACCTCCATGAACAAATTACACCCAACATACAAATCAATGGTATCACCCTTCAGAGGTCCCAAAGCTTCATATACCTGGGCAGAGAGCTAAACAGTCAGCTAGACCACTCAAAAGAAATTAGAAGACGTATTGAAATACCAAGATCTGGCTTCATGAACATGCGTAAAATGCTCTGTAACCCCAAGCTATCAATCACAATAAGGTTAAGAACACTAAAGTATTATGTGTGGTCTCTACTACTATATGGCTGTGAGACCTGGACATTAAAACAGTATGACGTCAACAAACTGAATTCATTCGAAATGTGGATGTACCGCCGAATGCTAAGAATAAGCTGGACCAGCAAAACTACAAATGAAGAGGTACTGGAAATAATGAACACACGACCTCATCTGGTTAATACAATCAAAATTAGAAAGACGACATATCTAGGACACATAATGCGCCATAAGGAATTTGAGCAGCTCCAGGTAATATTAGAAGGGAAAATCGATGGTAAAAGGGGTATAGGAAGAAAGAAGAAATCCTGGCTCCGAAACATCAGAGATTGGACACACACAACAGAAAATGACTTAATCTATCAAGCCCAGAACAGAGAGAAATTTGCCATATTGATCGCCAACTTCAATAGAGAAGGCACTTAGGAGGAGGAGGATGAGGTCTAACGCTGGCTGCGAGAGCAGAGAACAATAAACAAACCATCCATCACATCACTGGTAACGTAGGACTAAATATTCTATGTTCTAGTGACTTATGATCACAATTTGTTCATTAAAAATGGTCCTTGTGAATTTTTAGAACAAATGATGATGTCGACTACCTGCTTAATGATTTTTAATCGCACGCCATTGCTCAGAATTGCCG